TCTCTGTAAACTAATTAACGACCAGGCAAAAACTACACAGCCACCACCACATGCACTGGGAAAGTGGCAGGTACGTCTACATGGTAAATACTGACAGTACAGACGATGCGCAGTAACCGAAATTATAGGATTAAGGAGCATAACCTTCTTCAAGTCGAAATTAGGCTTTTGAAATTTCACTGGCATTGTAGGCTCGTGACATCCAGGCATTATAGATCTACTAGCAAGCCCGGCAGTTCAAATTCTTTCTAAGCAGACAGGTAAAGCAAATCTGCAGTGTTAACACGCTCCTCTTGAGGGTAAAAGGTTATCCGCACTTACCTTCGCGATGTTCAGCAGAAGAGTACATTTCATGGTCCTTTGCAATAATGACCAAGGAAAATCGTAGGGTCCACGGCGCTGAACAAAAAAAGTTTTCAAAGTCGCTGTCCGTCAGAGCATGGGTCCTCCAAAAATGTGCTATAAATGCCCTGTGGCCCAATTGACTGTGTTGAACCTGTGACCTCCAATTTAGCGGCACGTGCAATGGCTTTCTACATGATGCATAGACCGACTATCACGAGCCTAGTCGAGCCGTTTAGATTTGTGCCGCAATTCTGCATTTCCTCCCTATGACCTTAAGTTAAGGAGTGGTAAGTTCGCCACCTTCTTTTAGCACCTCTTGACCTTTGACGCTTTGACGCCCAGCATTCGACATACCACACTCGTTTGTGACGATCCGCGCCCCCCCCCGATGTGCGAATATCGTGATCCGTAGCCGCGAGCGTTATAAGATTTGGTGGCCAACTGTTGACGGACGGGCACGACGGACGCCGCGACGCACGCAACAAGACGGACCAGCGGGACGAACTAGATGGTGCGATTGCTACAAGAGCTGCATGCTGAACTATGTCAGAGAGCTAAAAGGTAGGTCAGCGCTGAAGATCAAAAAGTTTTTCACTCTGTCCGTTAGCCAGGAGGGGGCGTCGCTCAGAAAATGTCTGATATTGACCTTTTCCCTCCACTCTGCCCTTTGACCTATGACCTCCAAATCGCAACTGGTGTGTGGTTCTCCTGCCCAGTCACACGAAATACACTGAATATTAAGGAGCATGAGGTCGAGCCCGTTAAGATTTGTGGCCGCAGTCCGTATTTCCCTCCTAATACCTTAAATTAAGGGAAATTCCCCCTCGGTGCACCATGCTTGACCTTTGAGCCCCTTGAGGCTATGACGCCCCCAAATTCGTCATGTCCCGAGTCCTTTTTACGATGAGTTCCGTACTCAGGGGTAGCGCTTCCGGGCAGTACCGTGGGGGACATAGAGGGCAAAATTAAGCCTTAAAATTAAAGATATGTCCGAGTAGCATATAGTCGGTAATACGATTTACACGCGGGGCAGGCATGAGGGAAAAGATGGAGGAAGGTATTAAAGAGAGCTGCATATATACCTATATTATAGGTGTATATATAGTATAGTATAGTAGGTGTATGTATAGCGTATGTATATTCGCGTGTATATATATTAGCAATTAACCTCTTTAAAATTAAGAATTGGTCACAACGAAAACATGATTAAATGTTTCTTAGTTAACAGTAATCGGAATATAATTATTGTATCTCTGAGTCTCTGACAACACTTACAATTCAGGTAGGATTTAATATGTTATAATTATGCGCTAATGAAGGTAAAGACAACCACAACAAATATAACATCAAGAGCATATAAAGAAGGCTAGCCTACGTGCGTGTATCGCCGCGTACACGCGTGGCACACGCAGGTACACCACGTACACGCGGATACACTCGCACGTAAATCGCACATAACATGGACGTACACGCACGTACATGCGGGTACACGCACGCGTACACGCGACGAATACGACGCACTACACGCACGTACACGCAGATACACGCACGTACACGCGGTACACCACGTACACGGGGGTACATCGCACGTACACGTGGGTACACGCACGTACTCGCGGTACACGCACGTGCACGCACGTACACGCGGGTACACGCACGTGCAGCGCAGATACACGCACGTACACGCGGGTACAACGCACGTACACGCACGCACACGCGAGTTCACGCACGACACGGCACGTACACGCAAGGTACACGCCAGTTACACGCAGGTACACGCACGTACACGCAGGTACATCACGCACTCACCGCGGGTACCCGCACGTGCACGCGGTACACGCACGTGCACGCGAGTACACGCACGTGCACGGGCGGGTACACGCACGCGCACGTAACGCACGTGCACGCAGATACACGCACGTACACGCGGGTACACTCACGTGGCACAGCGGGTACAGCAGCACACGTACACGCACTTACACGCGGTACACCGCAGCGTACACGCGGGTACACGCACGTACACGCAGGATACACGCACGTACATGCGGAAATACACGCACGTACACGCGGGTACACGCACGTACACGCGGGTACACGCACGTACACGCGGGTACACGCACGTACACGCACGTGCACGTGGGTGCACGCACGTACACGCGGGTACACGGAAATACACGCGCGTACACGCACGTGCACGCACGTACACGCACGTACACGCGGGTACACGCACGTACACGCAGATACACGCACGTACACGCGGGTGCACGCAGGTACACGCATGTACACGCGGGTGCACGCGGGTACACGCACGTACCCCCTTTCTTTTCCTTTTCCCATTTCCTATTTAGACTTTTAAATATAGGAAACGGATCAGAAACCCATTTCCCATTTCTTATTTCTACTTTTAAAATAGGAAACGGATCAGAAACCCATTTCCCATTTCGACTTTTAAAATAGGAAACGGATCAGAAACCCATTTCCTATTTTCTATTTTCATTTTAAAAATAGGAAATAGGTCAGAAACCCATTTCCTATTTGCAACGTCAAATGGGAAAACAAACTAACGGTATGTACCGTGATTCAATCACCATCGTTGTGTGCGCGCAAATGGGAGTAGTGGGGAGGGGGGTATGTAATAACTACATACTGTAGAAATTATTTCTCTAATGACACATAGATTAGAGCAATGGTTTGACTAGTCATAACTGGATTTACCATGCCAGATTTTATGTCCATCACCAAGTATCTTCATTGACTAAATAATCTTTGAATCATCAACTGAAATATATGAAGGCACTGGCCATAAAGCTAACTAGCCCACAGACCTTTATATACTATATTTAATCTAAACTAAATTAAATTTGATGGTAAGTTAGTGTATCTAGAGATTAGCGAGTTAGCCCCGCGACCAATCCATAACTCTGTAACCCATGATCCCATGACCACGAGCAGATGACTATATACTACTATGTTAAATAATATACTATACTAGCAGGATGGGAATTTTTTTTCCTACACATATCTATTGGGCTTGATATACGCGTATCAACTTCCGCATCAGACTTTTCGTATATCAAGGAATGATGCAAAAATCCTAACCCCAACCGGGCCAACCCCAACCCTAACTATAAACCGAATCGGCTTATATACTATCTATGGTATCCCAAACACTATCTATGGTGTGGTCAAATCAAAGCAGACAATCAGAGGAGCCCAATGGATATAACGTGTAAGAAAACAAAATTCGCTTCGGCAGCTTTTTAAAACACCACAAAAATTAAGCAGGAAAAAGTGCCCTTTATTTCTTTCTGGACACCCCCTTTCAAAAATCTTGGATCCACCCCTGATTAATGAGTATGAAAATAACAATTGTTTTTTGCCCCCCAAATACTTGCATGGTCACTCAATAGTTTTCTTATATAATGAAAGTGTCATGACACTGTAGCTCACCTTGGGTGTGATAGAAGAGGGAGGGGGGATATATAAAGCAAGAGTTTATATGGGAGAACTCCCATTATATAGCATATCTCCCATTATATACTCTTGATAATGACATATATGCATAAGTTTTGATGCGAAAATAAATGTTTCAGATCTGAAAGTCTGAAATCTTGACGAGAGATGGTGCTACGCCTAAATGATCGCCAAAATCGAATGAATTTAGATGGCCATTTCCATTTTTGCCAAAAAGTGGGCGTGGCTCTAAAGTAGGTCGACTGGCGTGTTCCAAAATAGGACGTTCAAACCTCTCCCATAGGAGTAACAACTATATGTAATTTGAAACATGTGGGTCAAACGGTTCTTGAGTTATCGTTGACTGTAGCCAAATGTTGACGGACGGACGGACGTACGACGGACGACACCCCATGGCAATAGCTCATCTTGACGATGTCAAGGCGAGCTAAAAATGTACTAAATTGCTTGCCTGGTATTCATAGAAAAATTCGATGTTTGCTGGAGCAAATTAGAATTATCCAGTACTTTCCAATGCAGATTCTCCATCTGATCCAGGTGACAATCAGTGATCAACATCTTTAACAGCTCCTCATCTGGCAACTGGAAACAAAGTGTATAGGAATAATAAATCACAATTCACATAAAAATGCACTAAGTACTGCTACTACTAGAAAATATACTATAATGAAAGTGTCAATGACACTATAGCTCACCTTGGGTAGTGATAAAAGAGGGAGATGATATTAAAATTTGGTAAGTGTTTCATTTATGACGGACCAAATGTG